CACACAGACAGGGGGAGGCACACAGACAGGGGGGGGCACACAGAGAGAGGGGGGGCACACAGACAGGGGGGGGCACACAGACAGGGGGGGAGGCACACAGACAGGGGGGGGGCACACAGAGAGAGGGGGGGCACACAGACAGGGGGGAGGCACACAGACAGGAGGGGGCACACAGACAGGGGGGAGGCACACAGACAGGGGGGCGCACACAGAGAGAGGGGGGGCACACAGACAGAGGGGTGGGTACACAGACAATGGGGGGGGCACACAGACGGGGGGGGGGGCAAACAGACAGGGGGAGGCACACAGACAAGGGGGGGGCACACAGACAGGGGGAGGCACACAGACAAGGGAGGGGGCACACAGACAGGGGGAGGCACACAGACAGGGGGGGCACACAGAGAGAGGGGGGGGGGCACACAGACAGGGGGGGGCACACAGACAGGGGGGGAGGCACACAGACAGGGGGGGGGGGCACACAGAGAGAGGGGGGGGCACACAGACAGGGGGGAGGCACACAGACAGGGGGGGGGCACACAGACAGGGGGGAGGCACACAGACAGGGGGGGGCACACAGAGAGAGGGGGGGCACACAGACAGGGGGGGCACACAGAGAGAGGGGGGGCACACAGACAGGGGGGGAGGCACACAGACAGGGGGGGAGGCACACAGACAGGGGGGGGGCACACAGAGAGAGGGGGGGCACACAGACAGGGGGTAGGCACACAGACAGGGGGGGGCACACAGACAGGGGGGAGGCACACAGACAGGGGGGCGCACACAGAGAGAGGGGGGCACACAGACAGGGGGGTGGGTACAGAGACAAGGGGGGGGGGCACACAGACGGGGGGGGCACACAGACAGGGGGGGGCACACAGACAGGGGGGGCACACAAACCGAGGGGGGGCACACAGACAGGGGGGGCACACAGACAGGGGGGGGGCACACAGACGCGCGTCGTCACTGCCACCGCCGCACACAGGAACTCTTCATGGAGACACGAACTGAAAGCGCCACTTGCTGTGCCACTCGCTGTGCGCCCTCTCCACAGCTGTAATCAGCTCACTCACTCCCCAACACCTCTCTCAGTCGCTTGTTGAGGCTCTCCCCCAAAACAAATAAGCAGGTAAACAAATAACACAATCGCGCCATGGCGGGCCCACTTTGTGCCAAAATGCAAATTGCGTCGTCGAAATGATGCACCTCCCCGACGTGGTGAGTCGCTGCGTCGCATCGACGAGGAGGAGGCATCAACGTGGTTTGTGGAAATAATCGTGTTGTCATTCTCGCCAACGTGAGAAAATTGTTAAAACCAAAAACTAAAAATTATATTAATTGTAGCGACGAGTAACACAAAATCAACGAATACAACGTTTGTTACAAGATTTAGTTTTTCCCATTCACTAATTGAATTTTTTTTTGTCGTGACTGCATTTTGACCTCCAATATTTCCCACCGTCTCCTTCCGCTTCGCCTGGACTCTGAGCCGAGTACAGCCTTACTGTACGTCTCACATGTTCTCACATGTAACTCACATGTCTCACATGGTCTCACATGTAACTCACATGTCTCACATGGTCTCACATGTTCTCACATGTAACTCACATGTTCTCACATGGTCTAACATGTTCTGACATGTAACTCACATGTCTCACATGTACCCACATGTTCTCACATGTTCTCACATGTTTCACATGTAACTCACATGTAACTCACATGTAACTCACATGTAACCCCCCCCCTGCACTCTGTTTGCACGTTGTCTACTCTCTTGGCATGGTCGTGTCTCTTAGAATGATCGCCTGCACTGTATCTGTGCTCTGTGTTGCCTGGACTTTATTTCCCCGTCTTTTGTTCTTCTTACCAGAGTTGTATTTCTGGTCCCGCGTTTGCATGTCACGTGTCTGTCTGTCTCCATGTCACGTGTCTGTCTGTCTCCATGTCACGTGTCTGTCTGTCTCCATGTCACGTGTCTGTCTGTCTCCATGTCACGTGTCTGTCTCCATGTCACGTGTCTGTCTCCATGTCACGTGTCTGTCTCCATGTCACGTGTCTGTCTCCCTGTCTCCCTGTCACCCTGTCACGTGCCTCTCTCCCTGTCTCCATGTCACGTGTGTCCCTGTCTCCCTGTCACGTGTCTGTCTCCCTGTCTCCATGTCACGTGTCTGTCTCCCTGTCTCCATGTCACGTGTCTCTCTCCCTGTCTCCCTGTCACGTGTCTCCCTGTCTCCATGTCACGTGTCTCTCTCCCTGTCTCCCTGTCACGTGTCTGTCTCCATGTCACGTGTCTGTCTCCCTGTCTCCATGTCACGTGGCTGTCTCCCTGTCTCCATGTCACGTGTCTCCCTGTCTCCATGTCACGTGTCTCTCTCCCTGTCTCTCTGTCACGTGTATGTCTCCATGTCACGTGTCTGTCTCCCTGTCTCCATGTCACGTGTCTGTCTCTCTGTCTCCATGTCACGTGTCTCCCTGTCTCCCTGTCACGTGTCTCTCTCCCTGTCTCCATGTCATGTGTCTCCATGTCACGTGTCTCTCTCCCTGTCTCCCTGTCACGTGTCTGTCTCCCTGTCTCCATGTCACGCGTCTTTACCCCCGGAGCCACATCACTGCGGGTATTAACATAAACGTTACGCTCCCAAATCTTCATATTTGCATAACTTTTGCATGATATACCATGAGCTTCTTGGGGAATGCGTGCCCGTTTGGATCATCGCTTGAATTGATTCATCAATGACTAATTGTTGATTGGTGCATTATTGTACATTGCCATCAAGCAAATAATACCCTTTGTTATATATTTATTTTTTAATCTGAAATCCTCACGGAGTCTCAATACTTGTTTTTAGGAGGATGCTGCCCTAGAATGTTCGGTGTAAATTATAATAAATGAGTGGTCGGCGCGTGAAGAAAGACCACCACACATATAAGGCCCCACAGCTTCGTACAGATAGATTCAATAATCCAATGCTGCACTGCCACGTTTTAGCCAACTCGCAGCTCCGATAAGCACGGCTGGCTACGTACAGAGGGCGAAATTCAGCCACAGCACGTTTAAAAAATTGGTTAATGAAAAAAACTAAATCTTGCAATAAAGTTCTGATTCGTTGATGTTGTGTTACTCGTCGCCACAATTAATAGGACCTTATTTCTGTGTTAACATACAGCGTATAACAATAATTCATTCACGTTGGCTAGAATGAGAAAACGAGTATTAAAAAAAACATGTTCATGGCTACTCATCGATGCGACGCAACGCATCGACTCACCAGGTCGGATGGATAAATCATTCGTACACACATACAACTCTCAACCCAAGCCTCGAAACACACCTGGTTCTTTTCTCAGGCAGCCTCCTATCTTCCGAGCTCGGATAAGATGGGTAACGCATTCAGGGTGACACGCTTATTGACTCTAACCTGCACTGAAGGCCAGCTAAGAGACATCTACATTTGCAAGGCAAATTGGGAATGGCTTTTTTTTACTTTTTTTACATCGAAATAATGCCAACGCGTCAAACTATCTCGGCTACATTTTGCTCCGTCCAATACAATCCCACCTCCAAACTCGTGCTCACCACAAAGCCTCTAGCTGTGCTGACCCCCACGGGGAGAGAGCCAAGGCACAGGCACGAAGGGCACTCGCGATTCCTGCGCCGCGGTTTGTGGTGGCGCGGTCAGAGATTCCGTACTCGTGGCTGCGATTCGCCCGTGGCCGCAGCTTGCCGCCACACTCGCGGTATAATTTTAGCCAGATTCGTCCCGGTCAGTGACCGGAATAAAAAATGTTTCCCGATCTCCACGTCTCCACGTCCACCACCCATCCCGCTATGAGCCGCCGGTCAATCGTCACGTGCAAGCGCCTTACCCCAGTTTTACCAGCGACCCGGAAAATATTCCGACGACCGGCATTCGCACATCCAGGATGCCTCTCGCTACGGGCTGCGACGACGGGTAGTCACGTTGTACCACCTACTGGAGCCTAACGGCGACACGTGTACATGTTGGTTGGGAAATCAAGCCCTGGCCACGCTCTTGCTCGCCGGCAAACCTCGGCGTCCCGCACCGCATCTGCGTTCCGTGCCACGGGAGCTGCGCCGCTTTGGCCACGGAGAGCCGTGGCCGCTGCGCCGCAAGAATGTGCCGAAGCTGAGCCCGTACATACCGACGCCAGGGCAGAGTTGGTGGCCCGGCGACTAGTTAGTCAGCATAAGGCGCTAGGAACCCTGCAGCCTGTGTTCGATTCCGGCCACGGCTAATAATAGAGGTGAGAAATATCTAAAAACGGTCCTGGGTCTCCGGCCCTCTTCAACAACCGGCGCTGGCCAGCGTGGGGAGGTATGGTCACACAACCCCAATGGCTGACGCAGCTATTGGGGGAAGCCTTCGTCCGCGGTGGATGCGGCAAAGGGGGCTGTGGATTATTGTTATGACGAATGCCCATAAAAGGGGCAACACGGAAGAGACTGATGACCTTAACAAAGTTAAAACGGACAGCAAAAGCCAAGCGCGTAGAGACGAGTTCGAAAACGGCCACCCAGCACAGCACTGTACCACACTGGAGTCGTAACACGCAGCATAACAACTCACCTAGACGCGCCCTATCACACACACACTCTCACATTAGTCGTATTATTCCCTCACGCGAAATACGTACAACGCCACTCTCTCGCGTGAAACCTGCCAACCCCATATGTTTCCTGCCAAAAAAACGCCGGATTCATTGCGACAGTATAGATATATGTGTATAAAAAGCTGGAAACATTCAATACCGCCGTGCGTAATCGATCCAAAAAACAGATGGGCGCAACGACCAATGGGAGACAACTTGAGACGCGGCGCCGACGATGCGCTGCGTTCGTGAGCCGCGGCTCACCTGTCGAGCGACCGGACGGGCGACGAACAACGAAGTTGGAGGGGTGTTGGGGAGGGCTGGTGGGATTTGACCGACAGCGGCGGCGGCGGTGGTGGCGGTGTGGGGGCACCCACCGACGCACGGCTTACCTGCTCATGGCTGGAGCGAGTGCCCCTCCGGTGAGCGCCGACGCGCGTGACAGCGGCGGCGGCGGCGGCGGCTCGTGGGGGCCGCCGGGCCGAGACGGCTGCCGAGGAGGACCGAGCCGTGCCAGCCGGCGCAGCGGACACGGCGGGGTGCGTTAGCGGCACGCCTCTACATGCTTGTGACCGGGCGGGACGCACTTCGGAGGGGGGAAGAGAGAGACGCACGCGCGCGCGCGCACGGCCGAGCGTGCTCGCCGTCAGTGCGCATGTGGCGCTCGGCACGGCGCGACGGGCGCGACGGGCGTGCGTGCGTGCGAGAGGGGGGTGTGTGTGTGGGTGTGTGTGTGTTTTGCAGGCGGGTTACTGTGCTTTCGGCGGTGCTTGATGTGGAGTGGCTGGTGGGGATCGGTGAGGAGGGGTGGCTGTTTGTGTGTCGGGGGGTAGGGGAGGAGGAGGTGGGGGGGCCTTGTGGCGGTGGGGGTGGCTGGCCGGGCGCGTGTTTCCACCACCGCCGCTGCTGCCGGCTGCTGAGGCAGCACAAACGCAGCTCTTGCAGATTTTGCCGCGGTGACGCGACATCTGATTAGCCGGTGCCCAAGTTGCCGGGTGGATGGGGCTGTAGAGCGGGGTGGGCGGGGATGGAGAGTGAAGGTGGCTGGGGTGGGTCCAGGGAGAGCCCAGCTGGGGGGGGTTTGACAGCCACACGTGACCCGCCCGAGGAATCTGTTGCTTCTGACCGAACTGGGTATTCACGCGGCTGGAGCTGTGTGTGCTGTGTGTTGCGAGAATGCCTGCACCTGTACAAGGCATTCTGACTGCACTGTACAATGAAGTCTGCCCGTACGACTCGTCGAGTCTGAGTAGACTCTAAGTTCCGCACCCGCGTGTCGATTCGACGAACGTCGGACTCTTGGCAAGTGCCTTTGGCAAAACTAAAAAAAACCCGTGCGACCTTTAACGTTGGGTTACCTATTCAAGTTGAATGTCACTGAGTAAATAGCACACTAAAACATGACGATTACCAAATTGCCCCGCGAGGCAGCCTCGTTTATAATCAATCACGTCGACGTACAACGTTCAGCGCCGCGGTGAGTCTGCTACGGTGCGGAGCCCGCAACGTGATTCTCGCGGGGTTCACATCCTGGGCGAGGTCTCCACTCAACCTTGCACTCGTCCTTCCTAGCTCGATATCATTGATACCACTTTGTGGGAACTTAACAGTTGGTTGTCCTATGAATAGACTTTGCCCCCCCCCCCCCACCAGAGGATTGTGGAATTTCCACCGCTGTAAATGTGAAGCGTCCATGGCCCACGCTCGTTTGAGCCGTAAAACCGCTACCTTCAAGTGCTGCCCGTAACCAGGCCGCACAAACCACTGAAAGCCTCGCAACGAATTAAGCAATAACAGCTTAATTCATTTGACTTTCGACTTATACAGACAAAAAGACAAGTCGAATTTCGTTGGACACGAGCATGAATTAAAAAACGCCACTTCCGTTATTAATTCTGGTTTTAACGGAAATAAATCTAAAGTAGGTGAACGTTTTGGACAAGGGCCCTTTTATGAAGAATAAGGCTTCTATGAAGAGAAGCGTACTGCCAGAACTCTGTTTCTGTTATTAGAACGAACATGGTGAAATTGTTTGTTTGATATCAACAAAGTTGTTCATGTCCAAACAAGTTATGGACTTAAAAAAAAATCGGTATTGTGCAATGAATCATGCCACGAAATCAAGATTCCATTTAGAAACCGCACAGAGCAGTGCCTTTTTTGTTATATTAACTTTTAATTCTCAGAGCTGGAATGTAGGAAAATTAAGTGCATACCCACATTTTTATTTGACGGGTTTCTGTGTGGACATTGGTGACGAGGATAAGTCTATAAATCCTCTACACTGTAGAACCCAGCTTAATCGTGGCTGAAACTCAAATGCGAACCCATGATCTCAGCGGTCCTCCGGGATACCCGGCCACTTCAGCTCATGCCACTTAACTGCTCGCACTCATCCAAACAGAATTTTCAAAAATCTGGAATGTTTTGCTGCTGTGCATATGGTTTTCTCACTGCTGAAAGCAGCGTCAGTTTGGCCAGGGGCAGCCAGAGCAGCCAACGAAGACCCCTTTACGGTTATAGAGCATCCCAACATTTGACAGAACGTCCAAAATTCTTAGGCGAATCCCACCATCTGAAAACACCTCCAGAGTAAATAAGCAGTGGGTATTTGGGGAGAGGGGCAGCAGCCAAAGGGAGAGAGGAGGAGGAGGAGAGAGGTCCCACGTCCTGTAGGGATCCAAAACGATCTATTTTTTCAGGTTTTACTTGGCTGTAAAGACCAAGTCTCTGGCCCCGGGTGAAGCGAATCAACTTTCCCCGTCTCCGCGGCTCAGGCCACACCAACACACGGGTACCGTTTGTCCTTCCCAGGCGTTAGAATTATTTTTTTTAGTTCGTCCCACTTTTTTTATTTTCTTCTTCCCAGGAGCAACATGAGGACACGCAAAGGCCTGTGTCTCACTACCAGCACAGCTTGTTCAGCAGCCTCTATAAATAGGTGCCCTCCCTGCCATTCATCAGAGAGACTTTTGTCTGTGCCCGTGCTTGCGCCCGGGTTAATCGCACTTTGTGGGCGCTCACGTTTGAGCTTGCGTTTGGGTTTACGTTTCGGCATTTGGCAAACCGTAACCATCTCAATTTAAAAGAGGCAATCGACTCACCACACTTCACCGCCCCACCATCCTACTTTCTCCAAGTTCCACAAGTTGGGTTGCCACCTCTCAGCTGCAACCCCCCACCCCCCGGACATATCATGGGAAGAATATCTCACAGTACCAGAGGACGGGAGAGTTGCATGTAAATGTATTGTCTCGAAAGGTGTGTTACTACGGAACTGGATAAAAACGATGTTCTTAATTCCCATACGAAGATTTAAAAAATTCGCCAAACTAAAAAATAAGTTCCCGGAGAACCGGGACAGGTGGTAGCCCTCATAACAGATGAAGCTCCCTCGATCCCATATGACCCTGTCCAATCCTTTTACATCAAGGCCATTCTCTCCCTGTATTCGTCAATGTTTCACCTCTGTTCCCACATGCATAGAGCGGTGAGACTTTTTTTCGTGCGACTGTATCCGATTAGTCAAGAGATCGAATCAATCATCGGAAGATGAATCGTCGATTACTGAACTTAAATAATCGAAAAGCCCAGCTCGAGTTAAAGGTCCACCCAAGTTTATCTATCTACACGAGACAAAGATCACCCATATAGCCTTAACAGATGGTTGGGGCAAGTAATGTTAGCAAGAACCTTTGAAGGCCGACACGGCACACGAGGGGGTGGGAGGCCAGCACCACGCCCGGCCGCTTTTATCTCCCTCCTAGCGATGTTTACACATCGTACCAGGTACTCATTTTAGTCTGAGTCAACCTGGGGGGATGCCCAGGACCGGTTCAGATAATCGTCACTGGTGTTGGTGGTGGCCGTGAGCGGGAATCGAACTCGGGTCGCCAGGTTCGTAGCGCAGCGCGCTAACCACTGCGCCACCGCTCCCAAACTCGCGCGCGCCTGCACACAGGCACGCACGCATCATCTCGCCGATTAGCATCAACCGCCGACAGTGCCACATTGTGCCAGATTGTACCACCGCCGTGGAATGCGGAGACAGCGTGCGGCAGGCATCGCCTCGCTAAACCTCCTCCTCGTCCTCCTCGTCGTCTGCGGGCTGCAAAAGCTTCGCGCGCGGCAAACCGCGGCTCGGCGGTGCCGGCGCACGGACATCGGTGGGGAAAAGTTGCGGAACGGCTGCGGGGTTTTTTGTTTTGTTGATACCGCTGCAGCGTTAAAGGTCTCGCGAACACTGGGCAGCAAATTGCAGCCGGCGGCGCGCTGTTGTTACCATCCGGCTGGCGATACGGGGGAGACGGGAGGAGCCAATCGCCACGAGGAGCTCGTCCCATTGGCCCGGGGATCAAGGGGGGGGGGGAGCTCGCGGTTCGTTCGGCAATCGATGGCTCCGGGTGGTGGGGAGGAGCCGCTCACTGCTGTCCGGTTCACCACCAGCACCGGGGGGAGGCACCACGCCGCTCGCCCCGCTAACGCGAACCACAAACAAATAAAGCGACGGCGTGATTAATCTTGATTTGAAGCTTTCGTGACTGCAGGAATCCATACTCGTTGGTTCTTTCGGTAAAGTCACGTAGGTTTCATTTCTCTACCTACGTGACTTTACCGAACGAACCAAAGAGTATGACGACGTTATTTTTAAATGTCGCTTTATTTTTGGGCGATGGTATCACATTGCTGCTGATTTTAAGCAGCAACAGAACGGGCAAAGGAGCGGTGGTGCTACTGTGGTGTGCGCGCTAAGCCGTGAACACAGCCACCAGAGTTCTATGCCCGGCCACGGTCAACGTCGGTGGTGGGTGATATGAGAACCCGTCTCGCTCTCGTTACTAATCCGCATTGACCAGCGTGGTGAAGTATGGTCACCCCCCCCCCCCGTCATGGCTTGGGGAAGAATTCATCAACTGGTGAATTTAGAATGTAATTATTTCCTTTATTTCATTTTGAACAGCACTACAAATAAGAAACAGGAATACGTGTTGGTTGAAGCAACTTCATCGACAAGCAACGTAATAAGCAGCGTTATTCAGTGATGCTTATTTTGTTTGTTTGGGTCATGCTCCGTAGGTATTCTCAGCCGTACAAACGCATCCCAGTTGTATGACAATTCTCAGTCGAGAGAAGGAATTGTATGATATATTTCATCCACACCTCCCATTACACTATTAAACAATCATTAATGAGTGGGTTTTGGTAGGACGCGTCGCTAGAAGGGATGACGGTCTGTGGTTGAGACGTCCACTGGAATGCTCCTGCCAGGGAGCCAGATTGATCGTTGCATCGCGAGACCACGACGGGCAGCACAGCCTTTGGGAGGCCCTCACCCAACAGCGGATTGCCCATGGCTCATGATGATGAGCCTGGCCTCCTCCTGTATGCCCGTGCCCTCACCACAATATTCACAGCCCCCGCGCAGACGAACGGACGCAGGGAAGGCCGGGTTGGCGGGTGGGCAACACCCTCGCATTACGGGGCCACGTAATCTCACCTCGGGGCCCCGCAATTAAAAACCGCGCGGGTGAAAATTGCTCTGTCCCGCTTCCCATTAACGAGCGCATCGCAGAGATGACGGCATCGTGGTGCGCGCCTCGCCGCGGTCGGCTTCCACGCGACCCACCGGCCGCGCCGCCACCGTGAGACCGGCCAAAATCCGGAGCGCTCAGCCGGAGAGACACCTCCCCATTGACATGCAAAGCGCGTGACCTTCCCAGCATTGTTTAAAGTCAAATACAGC